ACAATCTCCGACACTCTGTGTGTTCGTACCTTGGTCGTGCGAGAGGGAAAATCTTGTCTTTTTCTCTTGATTCTCGGTACGTTCGACGTCGCAGTTCTCTCGTCTGTCATGCACGTTGGACATGTCGTCGGGAAGATTCAGATTTAGATTCAGATTCAGATTCAGATTCAGATTCAGATTCAGGTTAACCGAATGATCATCCATGCTCGAGTTGTGCAGTTCTGTGCACAATACCTGTCGTTGGGATCGAGACAAAAGGGAGAAAATAAACAAGACGCTTGTCGTAACAAACAAACAAACAATCGGCTGCTCGTCGAAATCGTTGAATGGCAATTTAAAACATTTTTCGTACTTTCTGCTCGCTGAGAAGTCCTACGAACTCTCCGGTATTCGGGCCAAATGGGACAACAAGAACATCCTGACGATTTTTGTCCACAGATTCTTCTTCGGGGGTCGACGTGCCGTTCAATTCATCACCCCCGTCGTTAGTCGTGTTAGACGAGTACGACGACGACGACGAGACTCGCACTCCTCGACCCTTACCTGCAAACATTACACCTTTTTCATCAAGACATTATTACATTCTCCTTCGTCTCCTGCGGACGCACTGCTTGTTTCAAAAATTATTAACTCGAAAATGTTGTTTCTCCTCTTTTGGAAAAGAAAAGTAACAAACTTGTTGTTGAACCAACAGCTCCGAACTAATAACTATAATTGCATATATACATTTGCAAATGTACAATACGACACTCGAGCGAGAGACATACAGAGTATCGACTTCCTATCGACTTTGATCGTTTGTGCAATTTCACGCTCTTACAGAGTTCTCATTTCCTACAATTTTCTACAATTTTCTACAATTTTCTACAATAATTTTTCGCAAAAAAACGACAAATTAGCAGACCCGAGTGCCAAGTACCTTTTGCCAAGAGACCCGCCTTCTTGCCGGCAGAACCTTCGACAGAAACATTGTTAAGCAATTTGTTGGTAGTTAAGGAACCGGCGGGTAACCGAGACAGCATATCGATCAGTTGTTTCTTGTCAAATACGGCGGATCGCGAGGCGATATCCACCGTGGCTTCTGTAGCGACAGTTTGTAGAAACACGATCAACGTGTTCAGCTCCGTCTCTGTGAACAAAGCGGCCGAACGAGAAAGGCCCCGAAGTTTGTTGTTGTCAATGATATTTGGCTCGTCCTCGAGTTCTTCCGTCGCCGCGCCGTCCACCATCACATCTATTATGGAAGAAACGGAATCCTTGTCGAACTTTTTGTACAGATCGAACGTCTTGCCATCGACAGCCTGGTATTTCATTAGGGAAAGCATTTGCAAAATCTGGCCGACTTGCATCAGATTGAATCGAGCAACGTAGCTAATCGGCGCGTCCGTGATACCGTATGGCTCTGGATTCACTATCGCCGGGCATATGAAGTACGTGAATACCAAATCCGTGCACATCGCGTGTACCTCTTTCGAATCGACGTTCCCGCTCTTCCCCAACAGCCCTGCCATCTGTCGCACCAGCCAGCACACGCTGCTTGGGAAGCAATGCATATTCTCCCGTATGCTGACGATGAATCTTTGCGTGATGTGGAACAGCGAGTTGACCGTCCACAGCCTGTAACGCTGCAGCTTCGTCTCGTACTCGGCGCTACCTTCTTTGCCGAATTTTCTCAATCTCTCGGACGGTGGGAATCTTATGGGTGCTTTGTCCGGGTCGATATCGAGGAACATCTCGTCCTCCATTAGCAACTGTACGATAGGATTGTGCAAGGCAGCGGTTAAGAAGAACTTGGCTGAAAATAGACTTTCGTGGAAAACTGAATAAAACCTAGAGAATGCACACGTGCCGTGTCTGAGTAATCTTCGAGGATTGTCGGACGGTACGATTTGCAGCAGCATCAGATGCTTCAGCAACTTTAAAACCAATATCTTATCCTCCGGTAGCAAACAACTGCCGTACAGGCCGGCTGCCAACGATTGCACTATCGTTTGTACAGAGTCTGGCAACAACTTGTCCCCCTCGACCAAACACAACGCAACCAGTTTCGGAGACTTTCTCAGAGCACCTAAAAACTCCCCGTACAACAGACACGTTTGATAACGTAAATACTTGTACACGTCGACAAAGTTTGAATTGCCCAATGTATTTGCTCGCTGGCAACACGATGCCGGCGTACAGTATGGTTTCGACATTATCAGTTGATTCAGATTCACTCGCTGTTGCGCCGTGATCCACGCTTGTCGCGCCAAGTTGGACGACGCCTGCAACACCTACAAAAAAAAAAAAAAAA